GCACTTCTCAGGGTTTTGTCCTGCTTGCAGATCCCAAGATCTCCAACGGTGAGGCAACAGTGTTCTTTGGCCACAAAAATCACCGGAGACAAGCTGGTGAGGAATGTTTATTTAGCCCAAGTTCCAGGTTTATAAAGGTTTAAAACAGAAGGGTAAAAGGGCATTGTTTTCAGGTAGTCCCTTCACCCAGTGATGACATTGTGATTGGATGAAAGGCACACCTAATCCTGTTGACCTTCCAATCATATCAGAGGTCACATTCTATATACAGGGTTGAAGGTCACACCCTAGACCAGGGCAGACAAGCTCTAGATCACGCCCACCAGGTAGCAGGCGGAGACCCAGGGATGATTTCCACTGGCACTGAATCCAGGCTGGTGGGGTCAGTCTTGGGATCACTGAGTCACTCCTTACATTCCTCCCTTTGTTACATATAAAGGAAAATTGGCGTTCTTCAAGTGAACTGGGTTGTCATATCATCTAGGCGATGGTCTCCTGGTGGTTGAGGGAGAAATGGTAGGTCAGAAGAGGCAGATATTCTGTAAGAAGAACCGGTTAAATGTTTGATTAAAAATTTTCTGCATTTCAGCATGGACAAATTTTTGAAAGAAAGAGATAAGGCAAGGGGCTGTGTGAGTCCCATGAAGAGGCGTTATTAAAGGAGTGAGAGTTTCCTCATCAGAACGCCTTTTGGAAAGTATCTTGATTCCTTGCAGAGGCTGGCTCTGAGGGTTGATTGGTGAAGAGCTCTGGTCTTTGCAGGTGTTGTCAATGGTAGCAGATAGATCAGCAGATGTATTTGTGACACCTCATCATGGCAGATACTAGTGTCTTTTCTGCAGATTCAGCTTTAAAACATTCCTGAATGGAAGTGTCTGCTTGACCAGGGCAAAGATAGCATCCAGGCTGGTGAAGCGCTCTTCTGTAGTTGGTGGGCAGAGGGAGGCAGGAAGGAGAGAGAGTATCAGGACTCAGTCGGCTGCTTGATCTGGTTCACTCCCTAAATGGACACAATGGCTAGAGTTAATTGATCGAAAGGCAGGAGGCAAGAGCAGGACCCTTTGGAGCATCCCACGTGAGTGCAGGGTTCCAGGGCATTGGACCATCATCATCCACTCTTTCCTAGGCCATAAGCAGGATGCTGGATGTGATGCTGAACAGCCAGGACATTAACCTGCGCTCACTGGGAAATCTTGTGATTGCAGCTAGAAGATTAGCCAATTGTGCCATCGTGCCAGTCCCTCATTAAACTTTGAAAAGCTGCATTAATAAAGTACAGATGAATCGAAAAATCAGGAGGAAAAAGTTAATAATTCTGCATGTTCATAGTTCAGTGTATCTTTCTGTTACATGGATTTATGTACAAATATTTATGCATTTTTTACGAATACATAAATAGGTTCAAGTTACTCTGAAAATTGTTTCTCTCAAGTTAAGACACATATATTAACTATCCTGGGCAGGCTTGCCTTGGTGGTTAAGACACCATCTTAGATGCTCATATCTCATATTGTAGTGTCTGGGTTCATGTCCTGCCTCTACACCCAGTCATGGCTTCCTGCTAATGAGTGCCCTGAAAGGCAGCAGGTGATGGCTCCACTACTTGGGTCCTGTACCAGACATGGGAAACCTAAATCAAATTCCTAGCTCCTGTCATTGATAACTTTTTTTTAAAATTATTTGTACTTAAATACAGATTTATTAGGAGAAGGAGAGAAAGAGAAGATCTTCCATCCTCTAGTTCACTCCCTAAATGGTCACAATGGCCAAAGCTGAGCCAATCTCAAGTCAGGAACCAAGACCTACTTCCATGTCTCCCACATGGGTGCAGGAAGTGCAGGATCCCAAGGTGCTGAGCCATTCTCTGCTGCTTTCTCAAGCATAAGCAGGTAACTGGGTGGGAAGTGGAACAGCCGGGACACAAATCAGAGGTCATATGAGATTTTGGCACTTGGAGGTGGAGGATTAGCCACTTGAGCCATCGTACCAGGTCCCTAGCTCCTGTATTTGCTCTGGCTCTGACATTTGATGTATGCAATCAATGAATAACCCAGTGGATGGGAGATATTGGTCTGTCTTTCTGCCCTTGTCTCTCTGCCTAAAATAATATAAAGTTTAACAAAAAAAGTACCTTTTTTGATTTATGAAAATCCCAGGTAAATAAATCTGAGTTGGATGAATATATAAATGAAAAATGTGTCAAAATAACTTAAAATGATGGCACAGACATTATAATTAGACTACATCTCAAAATATCACACATGTTTGTAAGGAAAAGACATTAGAAACAAAGCCTCTTAAATGTTAGAATAATTTTGATAACAGCTATGACAAGTGACACTTGAATCATATACCTTTGGAATTTTGGTAATAGAATACATTTTTACTGGTAATAATGACTATAAAAGCACTGGTAAAGATTACAGGTGATTGGCTAGCTTTTTTTTGTAAGATTTATTGATTTTTTTGGGCGCAGGGGCGGGGAAGGTAGATAGACTCAGAAGGAGATACAGAGAGAAAGATCTTTATCTGCTGGCTCACTCTCCAAGTGGCTAAATAGCTGAAGCTTAGCCGATCCTAAGCCAGGAGCTCGGAGCCTCTTCCAGGCCTCCCACATGCGAGCAAAGTCTCAAGTCCTTAGACCATCCTCCATTGCTTTCCCAGGCCACAAGCAGGGAGCTGGATGGGAAGTGGAGCAGCCAGGCCATTAACCAGCACCCATATGTGATCCCAGCACATGGATGACAAGGATTTAGCCACTGGACTATCACATAGGGCCCTATGGACTAGCTTTAAATACTTAAGCAATAGAAGAGGAAGAAAAGTAATCCTTTGCTTTTCAGAATGAGCCCCATGAGAACAAAAAAAGTGAGATGGAAGGAAATTTCCCAACTTTTAAAAAACATTTTTTGCGGTAATTTGATTATGTATGATTGTAAAAACCTTCAACTTATGTAAATAGATTGAATAAACATTTGATATGCACTGTTAGGAAATTGGTAATACAGTGTTTCTGTACCTTGAGATCTTCGATACTGAGGTTGGTGCTTTGAGCATCATCAGATAGATTTCCAATCAGACTTCCTCAGTTTAAGGACTTTTCTCATTTGTTCATTCATCAAATGATAAAAACAGTCACTCATTCATGAAGCCTTGGCTTTTCTGTGTTTATTTAAAGCATGTAGGATTACTTTGATGAAATGTGAAATTTAGATCGAGGTTAGGAAGGCCGACTTACTTAAAGATTAATTGCTAAGACCCACTCATGTGTCCCTAGGCAGACACTTCAATATCTGCATAACCCTCTTTTGCTAGCATGTAAAGTGAAGATAATTACCTGTAACTTTCTAATCAAGACCATCAGTTATTAGTCCATCATCTTATTTTAATCACTACTTTATCTTAACATACACACTTACTTGAAGGTTGAAACTGCATTTTATTGGTTTGTATTCCTAAATATTTATCACAATGACTATTACATGTGTACCCAATAAAATTTCTATCTCTGTAATTTGTTAATGAAAATATTCAGAAAATGCAAAGTGCTAAGCAAATGGAAGCTGTTTGGGGAAGCAGGTGGAACCCTAATCTCTCTTTTGGGCCTGGCAGTTCTTACCTGAAGCTCTAATGGCTCCAAGTAATCAATGCCAGTCCTTAGAGACAGACTGGATACATTCTTTCAATCTTCTAGAAGTGCCCTAACTCCAAAAGGCTTGGGTTTCCTTTGGATTATCAGGTATTCACTGTTATACATTGCTATGCTTATGTTGCCATACAGTTACTGCCAAACACATGTAAAAACAAAACCCACCAACCAACCAAACCAAATTGCTGAGTATTTTCACTGAAGCGCATTTTGTATGTATTCACCTGCTTCTGGTTTGTGTCACTTTCCTGTAAGTACAGCATTGAACTACTGAGCTCTGACCATGTACCAAGATTATGTGATCACATGCATTCGTTTTTTTTCGGACACTTCTGTGCTGTGGATATTACTGTAATTCTCATTTTGCATGCATTTCAAGTTGTGTGTGCGGGGAACCCAGATTTTGTCCAGTCACAGTTAAGAGGGGTAGTGCCTACATGCAAGCCTAGTTCTCCCAACTCCTGACCACTATGCTAAGTTCACTCTTGATCAATTGCTTCAGTCACTATTTTTTATGCTAATGTCTTTTTCTTTTGGGAAAGAAAAACAAGAATTCCAAAGCTGATTCAGCTTAATCATGGATTATCTATTTCATACCTCAACAGCTGCCAAAACTTTAACTGGGTTAAAATGAAAATTCTGGTAAAGAAAATTCTATACTATTCCCATTTATGAAATATACAGAATTTGGAACAAAGTTGTTACTTGCCCATATAATGGGATTATATTTAATCCCATTTTAAAAAGCAAATCCACCGAAAATGCTGTTAAAATTATGTACTAAAAACCAGACATTTCATTTAAAATACTAATGACCTGGGAACCAGGCACAGTAGCCTAGTAGCTAAAGTCCTTGCCTTGCATGTACCAGAATCCTGTGTGGGCGCTGGTTCGTCCTGCATGCTCCACTTCTCATCCAGCTCCCTGCTTGCGGCCTGGGGAAAGCAATGTCCCCAAAGCCTGGGGACCCTGCATCCATGTGGGAGGTCTAGAAGAAGCTCCTGGCTCCTGGCTTCAGATCAGCTCAGCTCTGGCTGTTGCAGCCACTTGGAGAGTGAACCAGTAGATCCAAGATCTTTCTCTCTGTCTCTCTTTCTCTCTGCAAATCTGACTTTCCAATAAGAAAAACAATAATAAAAAAATACTAACAACCCTAAAACAGGAAATATTGTTAGCTCAAGTTTAAACCAAGACTCTTTTCTAATAACTAGTATTTATACAAGATGGTAACTATTCAGTCATCAAAATGGTTGACAATTATAACTATGCTGCTTGCTACTATGAAAACTAATGATTTTTCTATTTATTTTTCCTTATAGCAAAATATTATTATATAAAGTTAGCAAATCAATTACATTAAATACTTTATTATGCAATGAACAGAAGAGCAGAAAGTTACAATGAAAACCATGTTAGAGTGCTGAAGATCACCTTTTTCCACACTTAGCTCACACATCAAGCATAGTCTGAATTGCCCTGAAGTTGTATGCTGACGAGAGTGTAATACTTTTCTTAAGAATTGGCAGCACGAATAAGGCAAAAGCATAACTCAGTATAGAAAACTTACTTCATTTATAAAAATAGTAAGAATGTCAATGTTTTATTTGCCACAGGGGTAAGGAGAGAAACAGTGAAATAAATCTGATAGCATGACTCACACTTCATTACAAGTGATTTTCCCAAATTCACAGCTTTCACATTTGGTTGAATTACAAAGAAAAAAAAAACACTAAAAAAAGGAAATTTCACACGATGAAAGTAGGCCAAATCACAGGATCCATCTAAATGAGAGTTTAAATGAGTGCACTTTTCTACATGGAAAATATTTTCCTTACTTTAGTGAGCTTCAACAACTTACTATATGGTAATAAGTCCTGGACTGCATTCAGAGGCCTCTTCTATCAGTCTGTTTCATAGGAATTACAAAGTATTATGCAGCACACATAAAACATTTTTGCCTTAACGCTGAAGACAAACTTTTAAATCAATACTGCTTGTTTTTCAGATTTTTTTTTAATCCATGTACCTTCTCAGTGTCTTACACCTGATATAAAATTACAAAGTCCATTTTACTTAATGGACTAACACGTTCACCAACTTTAGCACTTCATGCAAGTTTTAAGGTTAGGGCTATTTAAGCACCTTCTTCGTCTGCTTTTCTTTTTCACGAGTAGTTAACTTTATTTAAAAAAATGAGGAACAAGGGTGACAGCCTAAAGCCACCTAGCAACAGAAGGAATTCAGGAGGAAACAGGGATCTGGAAGGAGGTTAAAGCCGTAATTCAAGTTTCTCAAGTTGAACGGAACCTTTTCGCCTTTCTGCAGAGGAGCTTCTGACTTGGACAATGCGTCAGGTGGCAGCTTTGTGCATGGACCCTTCATACAACTGACATTTCCATTCGTGTCCCACCCCCCAGAAACAAAACGAAAGGAAACACCAAGTGCTTGGTACCACGTTTCTGAGGCTTAAACGCCCTTTAACAAGCACAAAGTACTGGTTGTTGCAAAGTCACTTTTTAAATAAACACCACTAGAAGCACATCTCCTCAAACGGAGACAGGAGTCCTGCTCCCTTCCCAGGAGCCCTGAAGGAAAAGGAAGACAGAGACACTGCCCCCCTACTGTGCATTTCGGAAACACCCTTTCCTCCAACCCCCCAGACCTCTCCCACTCAAGTCAGGCGGCCCTGGAGGTAGCTGGGAGAAGATGCTGGTGCTCAGTCCTCCATGGCAAAGTCTTTGGTCTTTTCCTCCTGGTCCCCCACTTTGTAGCGCAGCAGCACGCGCAGGCGACGAGGATTGTCCAGGGAGGGCAGCAGGGTGATCTCTCCGGAAATGTCCGTGTCTTGCTCCACTTGTACCGGCTCGTTCAGGTAGAGAAGCGCCTGCTTCCAGTGCGTGGCAGGGTGAAAAGGCGAGGTGGACAGCACCAGGGGTTTCTCAGAGTCTCCACCAGGGAAGGTCACCTGGAACCAGATGGCAAAGCCATGCAGGGGCGCTGAGCCGTAGCTGCTGCAGCGGAAGCGACCGCCCACGCCAGCCTCCAGCTCCTGCTCCAGGCCGGCTCGGGCCAGATCGAGCTGAGCAAAGCGCTGCGGCCGGGCCAGCACGTCCTCGCCAGACAGGCCCTGCACCACAATCTCTGAGTGGCCCATGAGGCAGCGCGTGGCGAAGCTCTCCAGGCAGCTCATGTCCACACCGTAGTGCTGCTTCACCTGGCTCCAGAAGCCCAGGCGCCATTCCAGCATCTGGTCGCTTATGGGGGCCACGAACAGCTCGGCGGAGGCCGGCAGCAGCAGACCGCCCTCTTTCAGCCACTTGGTCCGCGCGTGCAGCACGGAACTCAGCATCGACTCGTGCAGCAGTCCGTAGCCCATCCATTCGCTCACGATGGCGTCCACTTGCTCCGGCAGCTCCACCGTCTCCACGGGCCCCGGCAGGACGTGCACCCGGTCCTCCAGCCCGTTGAGCCGCACCACTTCGCGGGCCTGTTGCCAAATGGCGCTGGCCTCCACGGCGTACACGCGCCGGGCCCCGGCCTGGGCACAGAAGACGCTCAGAATCCCGGTGCCCGCGCCCACATCCAGCACGGTCTTACCTCGCAGCGCCGCCCAGTTCCGCAGGATACCCAGGCGGTAGGCGTCCGTGCGGACGCGGTCTGCGATCATCTCCTCGTGGACCGACACGTCCGAGTAGCACTCGTAGTACAGCTGGTCCCGTTCCCGCTTAGTCCTCCGGGGTCGCGGCACGGGCACGGCCGCCTCCAGCGCCCCGCCATCCTCCTCCTCCGCTCCCGCCCCTCCGCCGCCGACACCCCCGGACTCGAGCCTCCTTCTCTTGGGGAGCGACATCTTGGCGGCTCCGACCGGCTCCCAGCGGCGTTGCGCGCTCCGACGCGGCTCCGGAGCGCGAGGGCTTCTGGTACTTGTAGTGCGCGCTCGCGCCTCCGGCAGGGTCGCTCCGCCCGCGCCCGCCGAGGTCTCCTCCCCTAATCCGCTCTCTTCAGCTTCCTCCTCACCACACCCCGTTCTGATTCCTTCAGTCCTCGGCTCGGCAGTGTTTTTACTCTTTTCCTGAGGTAGGCAAGTCCACCGAAGACTAAAACTCCACTTTGCTCAACTTAGTGGCTGACCCATTCGATTGTGGTAGCCACACAGTGCCTTAGAGGGATCATCCTGTCCCTCAGAGCTCGTCAAACCAGGTGTGAGAATTGCGGTTTTGTTTGTTTTTGGTGTAGTGGATATAAAGGGCCACTGGACCAAACCAAAACCCAACAGTGCAAAATCTTGGTTCTGGAGTCATTGTGACCACTAACTGAATGATCCGAAGAAAATAAGAGAAAGGCCTTTTCTGTCTTTAAATTAATCCCTTCACTCCATCAGCAATGCAGGCTTCCTTTCAGTTGAAGAGTGTATTTCAGAAGAGCAGTTCCCTCACACCGCTGCTCTGCCCTTTGTTGGGTCTGTGGCTCATTCCAGAAGTCCTGGGAGAGTGGCTACCCCTCCCGTACCTCCCCCACCTCCAAAAAGTTTGGAAAGCAACAGTGACATGGCGTGATACAGTGAAACCCATCCTTAGATGTATTCTGGTCATGAATCATAGTATTTTTCACAAAAATAATGGAGTCCTTTTTCCTTTCTGATGGCTTTTCCCACTGTGGCTCAGTTTTTCCTTTGTGTCTCCCTGTTGGTGCAAGATTGGTACTCACCTCTTATGTATTTTTTTTTTCTATTTTTCCCTCGTAGATCCTCATCTGTTAATCTGTTCCCTTTACATTGCTCATAATGGAAATGAATTTTTTTTAATGTGTGGCACATTTATTTTTAGCACTGAGAGTAGCAATTTCCCCTAGCTTAAAAAAAAATCACACAGAATAAAATTCACTTAATTTTCTCTTGGTATCAAAATGTCCACTTAAGTCACCAGCCTATATTACTTTCCTGGGGAGAAAATTATTTCTTTCACTCCATTCTTTATGAATCTGTGGTCAATAGAGTAGTTTTATTGATGTGGTATCCTTAGCTGTACTTCTAACTCAAGAGTCGATTATGGATGCTTATTAGAATTCTCCAAAGAGTTCTTAAAATGTACCTATGCCAGGGTCCAGCTCAGGCCAATTAAATTAGAATTACTCAGTAGAATCCTGGCATCTAATTTTTAAAAGCTCCCCAAGGAAAAAAATGTGCAACCAGGGTGAGAATCACTGCTTTTGTCTAAAATGGTCTGAGTTTTGGTTATTTACTTGCATTCGATATTTTTTTTTTCAGTAGCTTAGGCTCAATCACTTAAAGCTAATTTTTTTCCCTCTTTTTGCATAGAATAGTAAGCTTATTTTCAGAAAATTGGAACTGATTATGGTATCTGGAATTAAAGTTGTAAATATGACCACTTTACATTTGCACTGCTTTTTTAAAAAATCCATTATTTATTTGAAAGGATTACATAGAGTGAAGGAGAGACACAGAGACGTAGTGTGAGAGAGAGCTTCAAACAGCAGAACTGAGTGGATACTAAACCAGGAGCCAGGAGTTTCTTCGGTTATCCCATGTGGGTACAGGGCCCAAGCACTTGGGTCATCCTCTGTTGCTTCCTCTGGCCTAGAAACAGGGAGCTGGATTGGAAGGGGAGCAGCCGGGGCTCAAACTGGCGCCCATGTGGGATGCTGACATCACAGGAAGAGGCTTAGCCTGCTATATGCCAAGGCGCTGATCCAATATATTATTTATAGGCTGTTGTTTAGTTTATATTTCTCCTTTTCCCAAAATGTCAGTTTCTCCTTTTAAATGTGTTCACTCCTCCACCTCATTTTCAATTCACTTCCTTGTGGCCTCTTTTAAGAAAATTCTAAATATAAGTTTTGTTGGTTCTAACTCCAAAATATATATTGGATCCATCTGCTTCTATCTATTTTCACTGTCAACATGCTAGTCTAGTTCTTCATCTTTGCTTCACTATAAACGAATACCCTGGGGAATCACCCCGCTTTTAATCATACCCCATCTAATCTCTTCTCCAGTAGCTGCAAGAATGAGTTTTTGAAAATCCAAATTAGAACATGCCATTCTCTGGGTAACCTTCCATATCAGATAACAGTCCAGTAACTTCAGTAACTTCCTGTGAACACCTCTCGGGCTTCAGATACACTGCTCCTCTCATAACCCACATGTTTCGTAGTCAGATCTGCATTTTTGCTCTTCCAGTACCTTGGCATTTCCCTGCGACAGCATTTTCTCATTTCCTAATTCTCAAATTTTGCAGTATGAGAGAGGACTTACCTGGCTACTTTAACACTTTCTAAACCTAAATATCACTTCATTTATAGCTTTTATTACTGTGTGTATGCATTGACTTTTTCTCTTCTTTAAACAGTATAAACTTGGGCTTCTGTTTCACCACCATGTAGTCTGGAGCACTGGAACAGGACCTGCTACATGCAAAGTGCTCTGTAAGTAGTCTGCAACAACTTTGTGATTGTTTATCTGCGGTACTTGTTCAATGGTGACAGTTTGTCTCAGGTCACCTTTGGGGTGCATCTGTATAAAACTGGTTTAAGATAGCTTTAGAAATATGTATATAGTTTAATCTAAAGAGAGTTTTCTACTGAGAACCACTGAATGATTTTAAGTAGATTTTAGTTTTTTCTCTAAACATTGCAGCTCAGAAGCAAACCACACAGATGGAAGAAAAGGTGGAACTACACTGGTGGAGAATTCTTTGTTATTAATTCAGCAGTTTACTTATGACATCATTCTAATGCTCAACTCCAGCATATTTCAAACAAATGGATCTTGGGTTGATATAGTACATCTTGGTCAGCATTTAAAAGGATGAAATAGATTAGAAAATGTCAGATATACTGAGTAAAGGTATTGTCTGATAAAACTGTTTCAGTTAGATATTCTATATATGTAACTGTTGCCGCATGTTACAGGTAAATAGTTAGAAATCCACAGCTTATTGTTATCCCCAAGCATGGTGAGCTTTGATATTTCTGTGGCTCAGCTTTATGACCCTACTCTTTTGTCCCCCTCTTCTCTTTAGTTACTGTTTAAATTTTATCTATTTGTAACTTTCTCAACTTTTGTGTAGCCTTTTCAATACTCACATGAATCTCTTTCTTCACTTAGCCCATTGTATCAGAGTTATTTATAGATTTAGGTTTCTCAGGCCAGGCTGTGGACATTTGAACATCGAGATTTTATATTTGTCACATTTATATTGAGAACCAGTGCAGTTTGTTAAAATTTTTACTATTTCCAAAACTTAGATTGCTATTTCTGAGTCTGTTGAGGTTCATGACATGTTTTGTGTGACTTAAAGAATCATGATCGATCTGCATTATACACATTCATTCATTCAGTCAATTCATTTATTCATTGAACACTCCATTGGCACTATATGTTAATCTAGAAACAGTTCATGTATGTTTAAAGATTTTTATTTATTTTTATTTGAAATGCCAATTTCACAGAGAGAAGCAGAGAGTGGGACAGAGAGCGGTCTTCCATCTACTGATCCCAAAGGCTGGAGCTAAGCCAATCTGAAGCCAGGAGCCAGGAGCTTCTGGTCTCCCACATGGGATCAGGGACTGAATGACTTTGGCCAACCTCTTCTCCAGGCCATAAAGAGAGAGCTCGATTGAAATGGAGCTACCAGGACATGAACCGGTGCCCTTATAGGGCGCTGGCACTACAAGGTGGAGGGTTAGCATGTTATGTCACCGTGCCAGCCCCAGTGGTGAACATATTTTTAAGTAAAAATACTAAAGTTCTTACCTTGGAACAGTTTACTTTTTTGTGTTAACATTATGTTATCTCTTATTTTTTGGCTTTCTTTAGACAAGAAATATATTGGAAAAGTAGGAAAGGGTAGAGACAAGGAGAGAGATGGAAAGAGGGAGAGATAGAAGGAGGGAGGGAGGGAGAGGGAAGGACAGAGACACAGACAAACTGACCTCCCATCTGGTAGTTCACTCCTGCAAGACCTGCAATAGCTGAGTCGGATCCTAGCCGAAGCCAGTAGCAAGGAATTGTGATTCTCCCTTGTGAGTGGTGGGGACTCAACCACGAGAGGTGTTATCTCTGCCTCCCAGGATAAACACCAGCAGGAACCCTCAGTCAGAGACAGGGCCAGAACTAACAGCCAGGGGAGTGTTGATAGGGGACATGACAGTCTCATTCAATGTCTTAATCATTGCACCTGATGCTCACCTGATATTCTTGCTTTCTTACTAACAAATGATCATCTTTGAATCATAGTTTTCTTTACTGAGTTATTATATCATGCGTTTTAAATTTCTTTTCCTTAATTTAAATCTTTTGTTTAAAAGTGTGTTTAGGGGCCAGTGCAATGGCTCAAGTGGCAAATTCACCTGTAAGTGCTGGCATGCCATATGGGTGCCAAATTACGGCCTTGCTGCTGCAATTCAATACCAGCACCCTGCTTGTGGCCTGAGAAAGCAGTGGAGGGTGGCCAAGTGCCTTAGGACCCTGTACCCACTTGGCAGACCCAAAAGAAGCTCCTGGTTCCTGACTTCAGATGGCTCAGTTCAAGTCATTGACATCATTTGTGAAGTGAACCAACTGATGAAAAATCCTTCTCTTTTTTTCTCCTTCTCTCTGTTTCTCCTTCTCTCTGTAAATCTGATCTTCCTTTTGCAATAAAAGTAGATAATTCTTTAAAAAAATTCCTCTGTGAAAAATAAAGTGGTGAATTTTGTGGCTGAAGGAACTAGGTCAAAAATAAAAAGCCTAGGTAAATGTTTTTCTCTTGATGTGTTTAGTATCTTTTGGTTCTATGCTGTATTGGCCCAGCTATTAAATCCAATGTGGAAGCAAATGACTGATGAATTCATAGCTCCTGATGATGTTA